CTCCCCTGGCGGGTGGCCGACCGCACCAAAAGAAAAAAAAAAAAAAAAAAAAACTCTCCAAAAAAAAAGAGCATATCTACATGCTAGGCACATGTGTACACAATCCCAAAATCTGGATGGGACGGAGAAATGGGGAAAAAAACTGCAGTGTGACCATCTCTCATTGAGAAGAGGGAGGATCCTGTCTCTGGTGAGCACCATGTAGTTTGTCTCTCTCTTTCTCTCTCTCACTCACACACACACACAACACAAAAGCATATCTGATGGTAGGTTTGAGGAAACAACTCTTCTGATAATTTAGAATTCTAGTCCATGTTAATAAGACTCTCTGGAACTAAAAGTCCCCTAAATTTCACCTCCTGCAAAAGTACCAATGAATTGAAATATTTCGGCCAGCTCTGTAACCTGGTAGGTAAGGCAGCCAGATCCTACATGGTTGGGCAAATCAAGCCCCCAGCTTGAGAAACACACTGGGCACACGTATGCATGTGCCCAACATCCCAAAAGGAGGGAGAGATGGGGAAGAAGTGATTATGGCATGACCATTTCCCAAGGGGGATGGTTTCTCCCCTCTCTCTTTCTGGTGAGCACATGTGCACTCTAGCAGCAGCAATGACGTCTCTCTCCTGTTCATGTTGTTTTTCAGTATAAATTATTAAAGAATTGTTTATTTTTAATTTAACCAGAGAGAAGAGAAAGGGAAAGTGAGAGAGAAAGCTGCTAGGTCAGGGATTCAAACTGTGGCTGGCCATGTGGGAGTCCAGTGCCTTAACCACCATGCCACCTACTAGCCCTATTTTTCTGTATAAATTTCTTTCCTTGTGAGAGCTTTACAAATTGAACAACTGATAATGCCAAGAGTTTTAAATGTGCTTACAAAAGAACTATTGTCACTGAATATGGAATGAAAGAAAAACCACCATGGCATTTTCCCAGGATATATCTTATTTTCATTTATTTCAGACTAAAATATTTATGGTCTTATTCAAAAATAAATGAGTTAATATAACCTTAAACCCAAACTGTCTCAAAGTCAAAACCATAAGCTACCTAAAAATACTGCTATATTGTTTATAAAGTATTTCTATACACACACATTAGTCTTCATTGTTGATGTCAATATTGTTGTACATTTTCAAAATTACATAGTGAAGGGAAAAGCAGCCAAAACAAGATTTATTTTGTAAGCCAAGAGATTTATTTGTAATTTTTTCTGAATTCACTTAAAAAAAATCCCTCCCCCTAAAATAAAACCTTTCCCACACTGATTGTGCCCACTGTGATTCCTCAGAACTCTGACTTTATTATGGTAATTATGGTGGCATTTTTCCCCCAGTATAATTCTCCAGGGGAAGAAATATTTTGAATATTTCACAAGTTTGAAATATTGCAGGTTGCCCCATGTTCATTTATAGAGTTGTTCTCTCCAACAACAATATTTAAATTTTAAGATATTGCAAAGTAAAGACATTCCCAAATTACGGTTTATATCACTTTGTTTAAGTATGAATTTTCTGATGTCCAGACATCTTTATAAAGCACATTTCTTACCTATGCATTCTGCCCAAGGTAGAGCTGACAGATGCAGAATGAGGGCTGATCTCTATAAGCTTTCCCACATCTATTGGATGTGTACTCTTTCCTGGGAGGAATTTACAAATGTAGACTAAGGAAATCCTACCAAATGAAGAGTCTTCTCAATACTGATTTCATCTTAACATATTACAAAAAGAACAAGAGGCTATTAAGGGCTTTCCCGAATATTTCTGGCTTATTTCCCCCAAGATGTTTAATCAGGTATAGGCCACATTCAACATTCAACATATCCATATAAAGCTTCTTTCCAAGAGTTCTCTGAAGTGAAAATAAGGCATTATTTCAAACAAACAAAAGCTGTACATTATATTTTATGGTGTGAATTCACTGATGTTCGTTAAGAAATGAGTGGTAATTAAATGAATTATATTCATAGGGGTTTTCTAAAGTGTGTGTTCTCTGATGTTTAGCAAGGTTGGAACTCCAGCTGAAGGATTTGTTGCACACTTTACAAACATAGGGTTTCTCCCCACTATGAGTTATCTGATGTAGAATGAGGGAAAAGCTTCGACTGAAGGCTTTGTCACATTCAGCACAAGCATAGGGTTTCTCTCCAGTATGGATTTTCATATGTTGGATAAGGGACGCATGCCAAGTAAAAACTTTACCACATTCATCACATTCATAGAGCTTTTCTCCAGCATGAATTCTCTGGTGTTTAATAAGGAATGAGTGGCAACGGAATGCTTTCCTACATTCATTACATTCATAGGGAGTTTTGGTTGTATGGATGCTCTGATGTCGAGTAAGGTGTGAGGAACGGCGAAATGCCTTCCCGCATTCAACACATTCATAAGGTTTCTCTCCAGTATGTGTGATCTGATGGCGAATGAGTTCTGAACCACTGCTAAAGGCTTTTCCACATTTCCTACAAATATATTGTTTCTTACCCATGTGAATTCTCTGATGTCGAGTGAGGTTTGAGGCACGGCTAAAGGCCTTTCCACACTCAGTACATTCATAGGGTTTTTCCCCTGTATGTGTTCTCTGGTGTTCTATAAGGAATGACAGATAACTGAATGTTTTATTACAGTCCTTACACTCGTGAGGTTTCTTTCCAGTATGTATCATTTGATGTTTCACAAGGTTTGAAATCTGGCTGAAGTTTTTGCCACATTCCTTACAAACATATGGTTTCTCTCCAGTATGAGTTCTCTGATGTAATACAAGGGAAAAGCGTCGACTGAAAGTTTTTCCACATTCGTGGCATCCGTAGGGCCTTTCCACGGTATTGATATTCATATGCTGGGCCAGAGCTTCTGGATGAGAGACTGTCACTTGCCTGATACATTTCTGATTCCCTTGTAGCATCTCAGTACCATCCTCACATTTCCAGTCTCCTTTAAAACTGGAATACCTGGGACTTTGGCTTAGAATTTTTTCCATTATCAAATACTGGGATGAATCACCTTTGTAAATGACACTTTTTGGCAAAAACTCTTTGATCTCACCATTTGACTCTGAAACTGAAAAGTAAACATATAACAAAGCAAATGTTTATTCTGTATCGAGTAAAATAAAAGTCATTCCTCCCTTTTTTTATTTTTTTGGAGAAGTTTATCACTATAGGGCGCGTGCACTCGCCAGACAGACAGAGAGAGACATAGAGACAGAAAGCGAGAAATCACCCCCCAGGGGGGATGGTCACGCCGCAATCCCTTCTCTATTCTCCTCTCGGGATCTTGGGCACGCACACACGCGCGCCCGGCGTGAGTTTTAAGCCACCGGGTCTGGGACGTGAACCGTGGTCGACTACGGGGGAGTCCAGCGACATAGCCATTACGCTAACTGCTGGTTCCCCCTCCCTTTCTAATGAGAAGATTAAAATGAAAAAATCTTATCAGTAGTATGGCTTTTATTGCTATCATATAGCACTGTCAAATCTGAGAAGTGTACCCAGAAATCAGATGAGATTAAGGGCTGACCCTACTGCACATTAGTTAAGTGCTGTGCATAGAAAGCCAGATCTCATGTGGTTAAACATTGGTCAAGTCCCAGCCCCAGGGGCTTGAAAAACACACCAGGCACATGTGAATGCTCAAAATCCTGATGGAATAAAGAAACAGAAAAAAAAGGATTACAGAGTAACCATGCCACTATGGGAGTGGGGTGCTTTCTTTCTCTGTGATGAGTAAACACAGCTTCTGGCCATTTTATTAATTAAAAAAAAAAGCTCACATAGGACAGATGTGGGCTGTAAAAGTATGTCTTTCTATACACATACATACATACATTATAGACACACATATACACATACATATCTGTATTGGTTTTCCCCCACAGTTCCTGGATCATAACCAATTTGGGTTTTTTTTTTCTGGTTACTGAAGCAACTTAACACAGATGAAGGTGAGACAATCTGACCATCTGGTTTCCCCTTTCACATATTCCTTTTTCTCCCCAGGGTGGTTCACAGAAATTCTACACTTCACCAATCTTTGATAGTAAGTCACAAGAACCTAATTCCAGAGGGATCCTTTCCCCATAGCCAGGAGAAAGGAATGCCTATTAGCATTAGATCACCCTCCTTTATCCAATCACATTTCTGTGTTGTTGCCCATGTTTCAGTTTTGCCTAAGCAATTAACAAACCAAGAGGGAGGCCAGCAAAAGGCTTCATGGTTAAGGTGCTGGATGCTCACATGGCCAAACATGGTTCAAGTCCTAGACCTAGCAGATGGAAAATCATACTGGGTGTGTATGCATGAATGTAGAAAATTCTGAAGGGAGCATTGTGCTTGTTCTTCACTCGGTGGTTTTAGATGGTGACCCTTTCCCATTCAGGACTGCGTTGGGTCCACTTGTTGGTCTCTGAGACCTTTGAAAGTTGACAACTTCTTTGTGTCTGGAGGCTGCTCCTGGTGACTCTGTAGCCATCACCATGCCCCAAAATGAATATATTGAATTACATTGTAAATATTATGGATACCGTTAGGGTTACCATGAGAAAAAGAGAAAGAAGAAAAGTCAGGAGGCTCATGAACATTCAAAGAAGACAAAAAAAGATGATTGGTCTGAAGGCTAAGCTCTATCACAAACAGCGCCCTGCTGAGAAAATACAGATGGAAAAAACTATCAAGATGCATGAAAAGGGGAACACCAAACAAAAGAACGATGAAAAGACTCCACAACAAGGGCTTATCTGTTGGAGAGAGAAGAGCAGTCCCAAGCTAAAATTCTTTCCAATATGATTAAACAAAAGCAAAGAGAAAGTGGGAAAATGGGAAGTCCCTCTACCCAAAGTTCAAGCACAGGGAGAAACAGAAGTATTAAAAGTTATTTGAAGAGGAAAGAGAAAGAAGGTGGCCTGGAAGGGATGATTAAGAAAGTCTGCTTTGTTAGAGATGCTTTACTAGAAAACCACCTAAACATGGAAGATTCATGAGGCCAATGGGCTTACATTTTAAGAAGGCCCACGTAACACATCCTGAACTGAAAGCCACCTTTTGCCTGCCAATACTTGTGTAAAGAAGAATCCCTCACCCCTACTATATATTATATACCTACACTTTGGGTGTTATCACCAAAGGTACTGTCACTGAGATAAACATGAGAGAGTTGGGCCTTGTGATACAGGAGGCAAGGTAATTTGGGGGAAATATGCCCAACTTACCAACAATCCTGAAAATGATGAATGCATAAATACTGTCTTACTGGTTTGATAGCAGTCGTATACAAGTAACTCCTTGTAATTTTTGAATATGATACACCAATCTGGAAAACCATCACGAATGGCGTTTCTGAATATACCCAGTCTTGCATGTCTGCAGTCATCAAAAGATTATTTATTAAATTGTATAAAATCATTAAAGTGGCCTGATTTTACAAATTAAAAAAAAAAAAAATCCCAGAAGGGATTTTAGCATGGCCATCTCCCGGGGGGGGATTTTTTTTTTTTTTTTCTTTTGATAGATTTTTGCTATAGGGCACTTGTGCTCATCAGAGACAGAAACCAAGAAATTACCTCCTGGGAGGATGGCCATGTGACAATACCTTCTCCATTCTCTTCTCAGGATTTTGAGCAAACACTGCACATGCATTTGGTGTGTTTTTGTTTTGTTATAAGAGAGATTTTTGCTATAGGGCGCAGGTGCTTTCTGGAGAGACAGAAGACAGAAAAACAGAAAGTGAGAAATCACCCCCCGAGAGGAGGCACCATACCGCAATCCCTTCTCCTCTACTCTCCTCTTGGGATTTTGGGCATGCATACACATGTGCCCAGTATGAGTTTTAAGCCACTGGGTCTGGGACTCGAACCACAGTCCACTACATGGGAATCCAGTGATGTAACCATTACACCATCTGCTGCTACCAATATGACATGAGTTTTTAAGCCACCAGGTCCAGGACTCAAACTGTGGTTCACTATGTGGAAGTCCAGCAAGGTAACCACTGTGCCATCCGCTAGTCCCCTGAAGGGTGATTTCTTACTTTCCCTCTTTCTCTCTCTAGTAAGCATGCATACCCTGTGGCAAAAACCTTAGGAAAACAAAAACAAAAACAGAACAGGGTTGGGTGAGCTTCTATGGAGCTTATAGAAAGTCCATCCACTTAATGGGAGGGTGCATCCAAACTCCATGGGAATAAATATGTCTACACTTGGGACCCTTCCAAGTTGCCCTATGCATCTCTTCATCTGTTTGTATCTGTTACAATATCTTTCATAATAATCCAGCAAACATAAGTGTATCTTTGAGTTCTGTGAGCCACTCTGGCAAATTAATCAAACCTGAGGAGGAGAGAGGGGCATGAGAACTCCAGCTAGGTACTGGTCAAAGTTCTAGAGGCCCAGACTTGGACAGCCATCTGATGTGGGAGCAGTCTTGTGGGATTGAGTTCTCTGCTTGTGGGACCTAACACTATTTCTAAGTTTACAGCATCAGAACGAAATTGAGTTGCAGGGTGCCCAGGTGGTGCCTACTATAGAACAGACTGCTTGTTTGCAAAGAAAAATTCTCATGTGGGAAATCACAGAAGTGATCAATGTCCTGAGTGTATAGTATGAGAAACAGGTTTTATTTTTCTTACTCGTGGGTGAATAAAGAGATATATGAAATATAAGTCACTAAAGGGGAAGAAAAATAGATCTATCAGGAAGATAAGTAATTGTAAAGGATAGGTTGTTAGTTTCTTTCACCTTTAAACTATATTTGCTGCTAGAATTCTTTGAAAATGCCAATTATATAATCCTGCTAATAATAATAAACACACTGCAGGTGTTCCTCAGGTCCCACAAAGCTATTAGCCTGCTGTCCTTCAATTCCCCTGGAACATCTTACAATAACTTACTCTAATTAAGAAAAAAAAAAGTGGGGGTCAGCGCAGCATTGTGGTTAAGGGCATTGAACTCCCACATGCTCAACTGTGGTTTGGGTCCTGGACCTGGTGGCCTTCTCTCTTTCTCTCTCACTTTGTCCCTCTTTGGTCAAATTTAAAAATAAATAAAAGAAAGTTGAATAAAATAATTCTTTTTTAAAAAGTGACTGAAAAAATTGACGGTGATTATCACTCTATCTCTGAATGCATATCAGCCTTAGCTTTGCAACCAGTGTTTTTGCGTCAAATCCCTTAGATAGAAAACATAACCCCTGATTTTCTCCAGGATGAATTTCCAATGGTCTTCATCAGGCCAGCCTCCATGGCATACTGGATAAGAGACCTGGATCCACCTGGCTAACCATGGTTCAAGCAACACATTTTAAAATTCTGGTTCTTTTATTTTTACCTTACTTTCTTTCTTTCTCTCTCTCTCTCTTTCTTTCTTTCTTTCATTCGTTCATTCATTTATATTTGACCAGAGAGGGACAGAGTGAGAGAGAAAGGGAAAGTGAGATAGCAAGCCGCCAGGTCCAGGACTTGAACCACAGTCAGCCATGTGGGAGTCCAGCACCCTTAACCACTGCACCAGCTGCTGGCCCCAAAATTCTGTTTTCCCTTCACCTATTGTGTCCACACCGTTTTTGGTAGATGCCAAATGATTTTGATGAAACTTAGTACTTCCTAGGAAGGTACTAGGATTCATTCATAACATCATAACAGATTCCTTTGATAAGCTAGCAATTAATGTGCTCAAAGCAAATTTTTTAGATGTATTAACATTCACTCTTAGGAAAAAAAAAGTATCCACTATCATCAGTGTTATTTAGGATCACTTAGGGAAC